CTTTCGCTCCCAGCACTGGCAGGTCGCATTGTGGAAATGGCAAACCAATCGGGCATGGTCTCCTCCGCAACTAGTGCAAGGCAGGAAACGCTGTTCGAATTTGCGTGCCGGCTTGGTGCGGCTACTGCACATGCGTCAGCTGTCATCTTCTTTGCCTTCTTTGCTCTCAGCCTCTGCAGTCTCGTGATGAACGCATGTTCTTTCACGCATCTTGTGGAGTGCTTTGGTGCTGAAGGGTTTCTGTTGATTTGACAGCCGATTCGGATTCCCTGGCTTTGTCCAAGGCAATTTGTAGAGTGAGGTTAGATTTGGCAAGTAACCTCCTCTGTAAATTAATGTCCCACACACTGCATATGATGTGGTCAAGAATAAGCTCGTCAAGCTCTCAGAACTCGCAGTACGCTGCGGCCTTTCGTAGCGCTGCAACATACTCGATTGATTCGCCCTCCTTCTGGTTGCGAATATTAAATTTGTGCCGGCAGATGTGCTTAGATGGCTTGGGAGCATAGTGAGTCTTCAACGTCTGCTGGAAACGGACCAAGCAACCGATTGTAGCGGCGTTGGTTCTGACAGATCTTTGGCAGTTTTGAACACTTCCTGTTCACAGTAACTGAAGAACATGTTCTTCTTGCAGCCTTCAGAAAGGCTCATGAGGTCGTTGGCTTTGAGGAAGCAGTCGAACCTCAGCATATACAAGTCCCAGTGCTCGGTGACTGGGTCATACGGAGTCGGTGGGGCATGCATGGCCATTTCGTGTTCTGAGGGCATTTTGAGTTTGCTGCTCAAAAATGGCTGCTCGAAGCTGCGCTGAGCTCTGGGCTGGATTTACTTGCTGGATTGCTACACTCCTTTTGGTTCGCCTAGTTGCCTTCCAATCCCATCCTCGTCTCCAGTGTTAGATTGGGTAATGTAAAGGCACACACAGGCTAACGGTAACAACAGTTCTTTATTAACTCAGTAGCAACTATGTACAACCCAGCAAAGGTTGAGTCTGACAGCAGCCCTTTTATAGAGAGCTGTCAGACCCTTGGACCAATGAGACCTTGGTGGAAACTATTATAGATGATGCTAGTATCTAACACAATATAAATAAAAATATGGTACATCACACTATAATATTCCTTTTCTGCTTAAGTGTCCCATTGAGATGCTAAGTGTTGATGGTGAAATTCAATTTCTTCATGCATGAGACTTAAATTGGGCAGCTGGATGATCAGAGGATACCTTCAAAGAAAGGGATATCCTATAAAGTAGATCATGTAGCCTAATTTAATGTCTGCATCCATTGGATTTCTGACAGTTACTCCATTATTAAATGAGCTATACCCCTGTAAAGTATTTCAGGGAGGAATACCATTCAAGTCAAGAACCAAGAAGAAAATGGGAACAATATTCTACAGCTATTGTTCAGTTAGCTTCCTGCAATAGTAATCTCAGCCAGGGCACCAGACCCCTAGGCTGAAGGTTTCCTTCCCAGCATTCTTGTTCAGCCGCCCACTGTGAAAAATCAAAGGGAAATGGGTTACTAAGTAAAGAAGGAACCAGAATAAAGCAAGGTCTGGTATACTGCACTCTTTTGAACTCCAAGACATGGGAATAACATTTCCTATTATGAAATGATACAAAAGACCACATCCAGACATTTAGGTGGCTTTAGCGAAGCTTACATTTTAGTCTGTGTAGTATTCTAAAAAACAGGAGGATTGCTGAATTTTTGTTGTTGTTGTTGTTGTTATTTAATCTTTGGTGAGATTCACAACCTTTGGGGTTGGTTGGTAGCTCAACAGCTCGAGTCCTAACCAAGGACCTAGGAACTGTCAAGGTAATGGCGGAGGATATAAGCTGTTCCAAGTAGGGTTGCTGTTGTTGTTGTTGTTGTTAGCAATATATATGAAATGACTTCCCGCTGTTCATTTTGATCAGATAAGAAGCAAACTGTCTTCTTTAATATAATTTTGTTGTAAGGAATTAATATCTGATAGAGCAGATTTCCCCCAAAATATTTTCTATAATCTTACATCCCCCTCCCTGAAATAAAGTTCTATGTATAATATAGTTATACTTTTAAACCTACAAATCTTTATTACCAGCTAAGGTTTTAGCTTGAAAACTCTTCCTTGTTTCAAGTAAAAGATTTAACTTAAACATTATTTTTATAAGGGAATGCTACAAAAATGTGACAAAGCAGCATAAGATATAGACCAAATAATGGAAATATTTTGATTATTTTATTTTGGTAATTCCCATTATTCTTCAGGCAAGAGAATGAAGGCACCAGGTTAAGAAGCCTGGCTTAAAGTTTTCTCAATCTTTTAAAATTTCACCTAAACAGATATTCCTGATTTTTTAACCTTTTATAGAGGACTGTATTTACAACAGGTACTTTGCTTTACTCCATTTATTTTTTGTCTTCCTCCTCTGTCTTGTTTTGCATCTACCCATTAGCTAGCTCAAAGTCTGTAGAGATTCTCAGTCATCCAGGTCATGGTTGTCCCANTTTTGAAGACGTTTTGCTTCTCATCCAAGAAGCTTTTTCAGCTCTGACAGGATAGTGGCGAATGGAAGGATTTATATTACTTGCAGACAGCTGGTAATCTGGATCCTTTTAGTGGGTCTAGAGAAACTAGGAGCACTACTCAGGTGACCCTGAAGCCACAGATAAACCTCCAAGTGCTTCAATGTATTATGCAAGTTGTAAACAGAGTTTATGCTGGGAAAAAATAACTGAGACACTTAACTGAGAATGAGCAAAGGATAAACTTTGAAAAAGAACTTGCCCCAGAAGAACAGGAAAGTATACAGCGCTCATTTTGTTACTGTTGTAATTCAAACTGTTTAAGTCTCCCCCTCCATTTGATTCATGAGAGCACTTAGCCAAAAGAATGATGCAATCCTTTGATTCAAAATGTTATCCCATTTAAGTTCAAGGCAAAGAACACCACTTCCAACAATTGGGAGGCTTCCTTTTAAGTACCTGGCATAACTGATTCTTTCAAGAAAGGAGGAAATGGAAAATATAAAAAATCAACCATGTTTGTTGTATGTTGGCATTCAATGGAAATCACAGATTTCTAACTCCAGATATGCAATACAGGTATCTCTGCAGCCAGGATGAATTCACGAAGATTTAATTTACTTCCCTAGGTTTGGCTCTCTGTTCCACAAAATGTCTTAGGTATAATGGGTAGCTCATGGATTTTGATTTTTGAATTATATCTGGGGCAACTCCAAAATGGAATCTTCTACATTTGCAGCCTAAGACTACTTTCTCCAAGCTTTCAGAAATACTAAATTAGCTAGGAATTTTGGGAGCTGAAACCCAACAGAGCTAGAGTGATCCAGGTTAAGGAAGAATAGCGTAGTCCCAGTGTGCTTTCCTCTTCTGACCAGCATTATCAAAGCAACAGTTCAGAAACAAAATAATGATCCTGGGCTCTATTTCCTTTCTAGATAGCTAGGAAGAAAAAGAAATTTGTTTTATAATGGCCATTGGCTCATATACTGTAGCTTAAAATGTTATCTTCACTAATGGAGTTGCTCACCAAGTCTTTAAACAAGGGCCTTTTCCTATTAAAGATTTCAGTGCCTGATGAATTTCCTAGGATCTTCTACACAAAAGTAAGGACTCTTACCTTTAAGGAATGACCCCTGGGAAAAGCAAGCACACAACTAGATTTCTATTATACATGTGAGATACAGAAAATTGTTCCAGTGAAAGGATGCTACTTATAACAATACCCTTATTTGCAAATAATCTGACTTATTAAGATTTACTTTGCTGTTTCAAGAATTTTCATATAAACATAAAGTTAGAAGGAGTTATCCACGCCATTAAGTCCAATGTCTATTTGGGGCAAGAAATCAAATTAAATTATCCTGAACAGATTGCAACTAGCTTTGCTAAATATATTCAATGAATGCTACTATCTCTCCCTGTAACTGGTCCCCCTGTTAATTATTTTTTCATCTTAAATCCATTATATATAAGGCAGTTAAGCTAGATGTTATAATGTAGAGCATTGAGGCTATATTGAATGGTATAGTTTGAGAAAGCAAATAAATAAATGATAAATATATAACTATCACAAATGCACATATAAAACCATGATTCAAACAGAATGTGGACGTAAAATTTCAAAATTCAATTGTTAAAATAAAAATGGGCATACTACTGTACTCTTTCCATGAAAATATGTATATATTTCAGTTCACAGAACTTTATTGATCTGAAAACCATTTTTTTCCTATTTAACACTCCAGATAGTGAAGAAGGGAAAGATTAAAAAAAACTCTCACGCAGGCAGTCATATCGTTGGTCAGACCAAAGCTATAATGACCACTAGGTATTAAAATAGTGCATGACAGACAGAATGGCTGTTGTTGTGTTATTGTATTGTACTGTTGTATTATTGTATAGATGTATTATTGTACAGTGATTTGAATTACTATAGCTGCTCATAAATATAATTATGCAGAATAATTCATCAAATTGAAGTGTCTTTATTCCTTCACTGAACTGTTGTAATATCTAATCCCTAGTGCAATGTTTCTCAACCTTGGCAACTTGAAGATGTCCGGACTCCAACTCCCAGAATTCCCCAGCCAACATTCACTGGTTGAGAAACACTGTCCTAGTGTTTCTAATTCAGGATTAGAAATTCTGCAGGCCCAAAATCACTTTAATTCAAAATTTCCATGTTTAGTTTTACATATTTACTCCTTATCTGTGTGATAAAATAATGAATTTATTTTCTTATACTACTAAAGCAATATGCTTATTTTATTTATCACATTTTTGATCGTCCCTTTTAGCAGACTAAAAAGTGAAGCCACCTATCAGACACTTCTGTCAAAAAGATCACAAGTCTTTGATGACCTTCAGCTCATGTAGGAGGAAATGAATTAAGTTTAATAAATTTAATAAATGGGAAACAAGATGAGCTGCTGGGTCATCAGATAATACAATGCAGTTGACCATGGTTGAAACATTTTTTTCTTACCTGAAGACAATAGTTTGTGTGTCCGTAAGAAACTGATTGCAAGCCTCATAATAGATGCCTTGTCCAGATGTGAGCTAATGTTGTGAGGCAATGGTAGCTCATGGGCCAACTCATAGAATACTTCAGTTTCTTTGCTTCTTCTGCATCGTGCTGCATCCCTTGATTTCTCTTTCCTTCTTTCAGAACTGCTCCTGTGACAATAAAGGAAAAAAGAAATTTCAACCAAGAAGTATGTTATGGTCATATTCACATACAGGTAGTCCTTGAATTACAACCACAACTGAATCCAGAATTTTGGTCATTAAGTCATTTCAGTTGAAAGGCAAGTTAACCTCCAACTGAATTCAATTTCACGCTCATTTTTACATACAATAATACAACAGCAGAGTTGGAAGGACCATGGAGGTCTTCTAGTCCAACCCCCTGCCTAGGCAGGAAACCTTATACCATTTCAGACAAATGGCTATCCAACATCTTCTTAAAGACTTCCAGTGTAGGAGCATTCACAACTTCTGGAGGCAAGCTGTTCCACTCATTAATTGTTCTAACTGTTAGGAAATTTTTCCTCGGTTCTAAATTGCTTCTCTCCTTGATTACTTTCCACCCGTTGCTTCTTGTTCTACACTCAGGCGCCCTGGAGATCAGCTTGACTTCCT